ATAAATAAATGAACATTTATAAAAAAATGTAGATAAACAAGCCAAATTTTAATTTTTCTAATTATCATTCTATCTTTTTGAAAATAGTACCAATGAATTGATGAGAAAAATGTTCCATTTTTTTATTACTTAATTTAGCCACATTTGCTAATAAAGGAAAAAATATATTTTATATGTATTTGTACGTTATCTGTAAAAATACTTTTGAACCGGGGTTGAAACTAGTTATGATATCGGTTTCGGTTCTTGAAACAGTTACTAGAATCGAAATAATGTTATAATTATTATAGATATATCGGTTCTGACCCATATCGGTTTCGGTTTTTCGGAACTGATATAATAACGGTTCTAAAGAATCGAAACCGATATGAGTGAGAACCGTTATAACATTTTTTCGGTTCTCATAACTGTTTCAATTAGAACTAATATATAACAGTTTGAAACAGTTATTTTTCCTGCTAAGCAAACCCTGCTTTTATGTGATTACTCAACAGAGATATTGAAATAAATTGAGTGACAAGCTCCGCCTAGCCCATACATCGTACGGATTAAACATGATATAAATTAGAACAATTTTACCAGTAATTAATTTAAATATTTCGGATAGCGAAAACATGATGTATGACAATTTATAACGATAATTTTTATTTGATTATTGTTAAGTCTAGTCCGATTTATATCGTGTTTGAACTCATTTTTATTAGGAGAACCCGAACAATTCATTAGTACTACTTTCATAAAAATAAGATGAAAATTATAAAAATTGAAATTTTCATCAACAGGCGATTCATTATAACACATGCGATATCCCTTTCAAGTGCCGCATCTCTTTTACTCTACATCTTTCGTCTCCCTTGTGCTATATATATTCTCGTGTAATTTTATGTATGGGCGTGTGTGCATGTATGTGTACCACAGCATGGCCAGCGTAGTTTAAGAGTGGAGTGGATAGATTCTATTCAGCAACTGTTAAACTGCCGAACGGTAACAGTGGAATTGGAAAATGGTGGAGAAGAAAATTACGTGGCAGGTCAACAGAATTGGCCCCGACTATAGCAATATCTTAATCGCTTTTATATCTTCATGTTTATTTAAAAAGCAAGTCACTTATGATTTAATTTTTAATGATGTGTTATTTTTTCGTAACACTACAAATTATATATTAACATATGTGTATACATCTATACACACAAATATATACACATATGTCTACTATGCAGAGCTGGAAAGATCGCGTGCGGACAGAATGCGGGATCTTATTGATGTAGCGGACACAGTCATAAAGTCACTCATCTACTAATCCATGGCGTGATGGTGAGCATCAAAGGTTGAGCGAGCGAAAGGCCCCTCTTACCCCTGTACTGCCCCGCACTCAATCTTTTCAGCCCTGCAGTATACATATGTAGTGTAGTCTTGCAGTTTTTTTTATCACTTATTCATCACATTCGTGATACATGGTTCTGTAGAAAAAAATACAACAAAAAATATATTTAATTCTATTTGGAGAAAAAACTATAAAAATTAACAAAATTATAAATATAATTACCTTTGTTTATCAATATTTCGTCGAGACAATCTTCTTCCCTGCTCATGTGTGGCTAATGTGTACCGTTTTGTGTGAGGACGATTTGCTCTAAGTTCACGTGCCTCGGTAGTTTTAGCTTTCTCTACTTTTCGCATAAATTTTTCAATTAGTTCAGGACAATTTAAGTTTTCCTCTGGTTCCCATGAATCATCTGCTGCTGTAAATCCTTTCCAACGAATTAAAAATTGTCTCGTTTTATTTTTTTTAAAATGTACTTCTATAATCCTTTCTACTTCAAATTCTTTTTGATCTTCTTTATCATTTTTTTCTTCATCTGATGCTGTTATTTGTTTGCCTGTAATTAATTTAAAGTACAACAATTAAAATATAACTTTACAATGAGTTTTTCAAGATTACTGATATTTTTCTTGAAATAATACCATTTTCTGTTTCCTTTTTCATATTATTTTTCGATTTTCTAGGTTTTCTTTCCACTTTTGTAATTTTATTCTTCCCTGGTTTTGGGGAATTTTCAGCTTTCTTAGATTTACTGTCTTCTTCAGACTCTGTATCTTCATCTAAAAACTCTTCAATTAACTGTGGACAATGTAAGTCCTTTTCTTGTTCCCATGTATCAGAAGTTTCATCATATCCTTTCCATCTGACCAAAAATTGACGTCTTCCTTTAATAGTTCGTTGCCCCACAATTTTCTCTACCTAGATAAAAAAGATTGATACCTGTTAGATTTCAATAATATGTTTATCCTTATTGTACATTAAACTACATCAGTTAACATTATATAAATTACAAATACATTTCATAATCTTTTAATGCAAGAGTATAAGAAAATTGGAGCAAAGTTAAAACAATTAAAAAATATCGATACATCGCATTCCTAAATATATTATTTAGACTATAAACAAATGCTTGTCTACCATAAATATTATTTTGTTATAAATCTTTCATTTTCAACATCTTCCAGTATAATAAAATATATTACATTTTGTTTATATTTCTCTAAGGGTATAGTACACCCACGTAACAATTTAGGGAAAGCGCCGTATGAACGCCATCGAATATGACGATACGATACTACTACACATACGTAAATGCAATCGCTAGGTACTTTTGTATTTTTCATGGAAACTTTTGTATTTTTATCGCAAGACAATTTTGTTTTGCAATAAATATCAGTTTTGTATTCATGATGATCCAATATACTGAAGATTGTTTTTATTTTCTGTGCTTACGTAAAGATGACTAACACTATATGCCTAGACGCGGTTCTTTATGCCGCGAAAACGTAATTGTACTAAATAAACAAAACACAATAAATATTATATTTGACATACTTCATAATCTTTCTCGTTATTTCCGTCCTGTTTTGTTAAAGCCTTCTGATCATCCTTTTTAAGTCTTTTACTTGGTCCAGCTTTTCCGACATTCTTATTTTCTTCTCCGTCTGTGTCTGAAGCTTGAGTGTCTTCTACATCAGATTTTGCAGAATCCTCGGTTTCTTTAAAACTGTGGCGAGCACGAGACGGGCGCTTTTTTGGTGCACTTCTGCGCGGTGTTTCCACATGCTCATTCTCTTTTCCTCTCTTCATTTCGTCGTTATTATCACCTATGATGCGCGTGACGCCATTTTCCTCGGAGTCACTACCACTGGTCATATCAGACTTCCTACGCTTACTCTTCATACTCAATCTTCGCATACTATTCTAGCAACTAACACAAAATTTTGATTTCTTTCGTACTTTTCCTTCTAAACTCATAAATCGCGCGTTTTCTTTTTGATTATCTCAGATCTAGTTATGTATACAAACTCAGAATACAATTTTATCCCGCGTTTCTGTAAACAACTTGGAAACAGCTTGGCGCGATCACGAAACGTTCATGCGCAAATATATGCGCCAAGTAGACTTCTGAGCCAGCAGGGATGCGGTTACGTACAATATTTCATGGTCATAAATTATTTTATAGCTTTTATGTGCAGAATTCCCATCATATTATTTTACAATTGTAAATAAAAATTAACGTTAATTTACAATAATGCGTTAAGGAACAATTTTCACTATTTAGATAATAAAATTTTTATCAATTGCGCTTGAATAATGGCTTTATTTCCGTTACTTCGTTTTTTGAAACTGTTATTTGCTACATTTTTTCTACTATTTAAATAAAATATAAATTACAGACTTATTTATATTTCTTATTGCGCGTTTGATATATTCAAATAAAAATTCGTTTGCGACGTCATACTTCGGCCATATTGATTGAAAAGAAATAAACCGTTTTTACGAAATTATGGCTCACATTCCTAAGAATGATGCAATAAAGAAATTGTTTTTTATACTATATTACCTACTTCTTTATTTCTTATTTCATTAAATTATGTTTCCTTTTTTATATTCATTTCATAAAATATCACGAAATAGATAAGTAGAAAGGGTTTATAAAGGAGCAATAATCGAATAAAGTAAAGTGTTGTAAAATCAATATTTTACTTTGTGTACGATATTTCGTTGCTCTGGTAACCGAGCGTAACTTCCTTATTTATGCCCCTGTTAGGCTGGTATCTTCCACATAATTTTTGTATAAACTTTAACTTTTTTATTAATCTTTTTTAAGTCATGGCCAAATCTGTAACTACATACGAAAAACCTTTACCACACATAAGTAAGTATAATTTTTAGAATTGTCAAAATAACAAATGTTTATATTTTACTTCTTTCATTCAAATATTTCTTCCTGAATGAAATTATATATTACATACATATTTTAAGGAAATAGTACCATTTAAAAGTATTTGTATGAAATATACTTCTTTTTTATAATAGGTTTACCAGATTGGTATGCTAAGCAATGGGAAGTTCAGCAAAATGCAGCTCTCAGAAGTGCAGAAGCATTTGAATTAAGAAATTCAGGAAAAATTGTTCGTTCAGAAACAATGGTAAAAACCTTGTGGGACTCATATATGAATAATACTCGTCTTGCAGATAGGTAATGATTAATTGAAATGATATCTGAGAAAAAATGTATATTTTATTAAATATTTGCAGAGTAACAGAATTATCAAGATGGAGAGAAGTACTTCAGCATTTGTTAGATAAATTAATTACAGAGACAAGATTCATACAGGCTGAGAAGGCTGATGCAGAAAAAGAATTAGAAAATTTAAATTATCCATTACAAGTAACTGCAGAATGCATTTCTATGAGAGATTGTCGTAGAGGAACAGAGCTTACTTATGATGAAGCTGATACAGAATTAAAAAGAGAACTCTGTGTCATTGAAAATGTTAAAAAATTATTAACTGATAGGTATAATATTAGTATAAAGAAAATTCAAGTACATATTTATAAGTATACATTACTTTATGTAGGGTACAAGCTGCATGGGAAAAGTTAAATCGTTTGGAAGAAGTTAGATTTACAGTGCAGTTGGAGGTAGAGGATAAAGATGAAACTATTAAAATAGATAAAGAAAATCTTAGTTTAGATCGTACCTGTGCAAATATTAGCTACAAACCAAATGCATTAAGAACTCCAAAAGGGTGAGAACAAACATTTCATGTGTTTCACATATGAAATAAATGTAAAATATTTGTTTTATTACTGTAGGTCAATAACATATGAAGCTTGGTTGAAACACTGCCAACATGCTAAAACTTTAGCTGACAATGAATTAAGCGATGTATATAATTTTCGAGAAGCTATGAATGTAATGCGTGAACGAGCTAGGAACGACATTAAAGCTCAGCAGGATGTAACAGATTTTAGTTTACGAAAACGAATCTATCAGACGCAAAAAGCTCGAAATGAGTTAGAGTGGCAGAAGCTTAAAGTAACTATAATTTTTATAAATAAAAAGATCATTAGTGGTATATAACTACATTCCATCATAATTTACAGATTGAAAAAGAAATGGAAATTTTACAAAAAGAAATAGTAAGATTAGAAGATGCACTACTGCATAAAGTTGATTCTATAAAATGTGCGGAAACAAGATTAGAAAATCGTACTTATCGTCCTGGTTTTGAACTTTGTCGTGATGAAGCTGAATTAGGTTTGAAAGATGAAGTTTTACAGTTGCGACAAACTGAAAAAGATTTATCAAAAGTTTTGGAAAATTCAAAGTACGTACAACGAATACGCATAAGTTACATAATACATTCTTATATCTTTTCCGCAAAACAATTAAAAAGTTTATTGTATTTGGTACACGTCTTGTTTTTATAGAGGAGCGTATAATAATTTGGAAAGCTTACTGTTGCGGGTTGATAGAAATTTAGATGACAAACAACATTCTTTAGCAACGGATGTGATGTGTTTAGACATGAGAGCAACGTTGAAAACAGGGGATAGAACCCGATTACCTAATGAAACCGATCGTAATATTGTTCTCACACATATGGAAGAAGAAATACCACTTGAGTCGTGAATAACTGCAATATTCACGTAAATCTACTAGAAATAATGTTTTTCGAGTATATAAAATGTCTATTTATTATATAGCTTAATGATGTTTTCATTGTACACATTTTGCCATGCTTAAGTATATTTATGTGTCTGTATCTATGCAAATTGGATTCGCTTTAATTAAACTGTACTCTGAAATAAAAGAATCTGTTAGTGCTGGTTCTAAGGTTTTTACTGCCCTTCTGTGTATTTCTCCGACTTTCTTTGGATCGCCATGTTTCATTTCAAATGTAATGTAATGTATCCAAACACTAGTATTATTTTTGCCAAATTGTAATGTTGACATTTCATTGCATTTTCTTATGTGTTTTATGGATACTTCAGGTTGCATAAGTTCTAATTCCATCATTTTTTTGTGCAATTCAAGACAGAAAGGAGGTTGCAAACAAAGATTATCATAAACTTTTCGCGCTGCTTGTATACCTAAAACAAAAACTAGTTGTAATATAAGTTCTACAAAATGTAATCTTGTAATTTATAGTTACTCACTTTTTGTTAGAACTAGCCATTCAATATAAGTTGGTTTTATTTCCTGTGCAAAATTTGGATGTCCTTGCAAAGCTGCTTGAAAAATTTGTTCAGTTTTTTCAGGACATTTTGCTTGTACATGTAATATCTTTATTTTCCATAAAGACAATGATTTTTCTCCAAGGACTTGTGTTGCCTAAAAAGTTATGTTCTGTGTATACAATATCATAGATGCAATTAAAAATAATGATTTTGTACCTTTGAAAAAGTAGTTTCAGCTTCTTCTTCATCTCCTGAGGCAAACAGATATCTTAATCTGGCATGCCAAAGACTTACACTACTTGGTATAGTTTCAGTTGCTATACTCAGAATTTCTTTTAATTTCTTTTCCGTAGTTTCATCTTTTTTTTCAACATTTAACATGTTAATCTGTAATAGTATTAGTAGATATTAAAGCCTTTAATTATCTATTTTATTCAATGAATGATACTTCAATATGTTACTAACCCAATGTAAATAATACTTTTCCTTTAATTTTTTTGCTTGGTGTGCTTGTGACAATGCTGTTTTTAATAGTTTTCTTTTAAAATTTGGCAAAGATCCAGCTGTCTGATTAATTTCTATTAAACATTCTATATACAAAGACCACATTTCTTCAGCCTTAATTTTTTTAACTGCCGTTTGATATACTTTGTTACAAGATGTTATACGATCTCTTAATGAAGTTTGTTCTGAACTATCAACTTCCATTATAGTCTCACTGAGACAAGGTTGAATAAGTCCTTCTAATTCGCGTCGAGCCATTGTGTCCCACATTAGAGGTTCATGGGCATATTCTTGTATCATATCACTAAGAAGATTTAAGGAAACTTAAAATCCAGACAATCAATAATACCACCATATATTTTAACTGTTCCTACCTAACAATTTTATTTTGTAATTTTTCTGTACTCTTATATTCTTTTGTAATATTTAATAATTCTATTATGAATTTAATGTCTTTAATACATTTTGATGCTTGCTGATATATGATATAAGCTCTCTTTAGTCCAATAGTCATATCATCATCAGTTCCTGTTGGTATTGCATTGTCACCAATACTTTCATTCTTTTGATCACTAATCACTACATCCTCTAGTTCTAATCTAAATCATGAAGTTAATTATTAAGACATAAATGCAAATATTAAGACTTTCTAAAACATTTAAAATATTGCTTACTTAAAAGCATCAATAAATAATAATTGAGAAGTTGGATGTATATGCAAACCACGAAGAAGAAATTGTCGGGCAGTTTGTTTATTTTTGCTTTCTTCTAGCTCCCAACGTGCAGCAACGTGCCAACATTTAGGCTTATCTTGATGAACTTGTAACATTCTACCTAATATGTGACTTACACTGTTGTGAAAATGCTGTCACATTTTAAATTGACATTTATAAATTGTAAAATTAGTTGGATTAATAAGAAATTATAATTCAAATACTTACAACATGCTTACAAAATTTTATATAAGCAATCCAAAAACGAATATCATCTTGAAATTTAAATATTGCATCTCTATACAAATGATTCATTTTATTTGTAATGGTATGATCAATATCTGATTTCTTCTGTGCAATTCCAAATTTCTGTTAAATTGAAAGAAATTGTATAAATATAATTAATTCTTTCGAATTTTCAATTAAATTATTCTTAAGCCTGTAATAACATACATCTCTACGTTGTTTAATTAATTTAAGGAGATCCATTTCATACTGTATATATCTTAAATAGTCTTCTTTAGTTTTTGTATGTCGTTGAATTTTATATTCGTATTCCTTGAGTTTCTTCGCGATTCCTCTAAATAATTTACAAGAACAGAATCTGTTAATCGAAATAAATAACCTACGTCTACGAATATGATCTACTTCACTTACCGAATTTCATTTTTGTCAAACAGTTTAATTCTTTCCATCTGTTCTAATTCGGGGATCATATCCTCGATTCGTTTTTCCACAAACTCAGCCATGGTTACTTTCTTTTTTAATTAACAAAACACAAATTAATATAAGAATCACAGAAAGATCTTTAACACATGTACGAAATAATCACTCAGAGTATTCAACCACGTTGCTGTAACATTACCTACTAAAGATCAATATAGAGCTACAGTGTATATCTACATTATCATTCTATGATGAATTAGATTTCTACTATGTTTCTATCATGTGGCTCCATCTAGAAAATTGATTTTTTAGATAGTTTAGCGCGTATTCTTTAGTCGTTTGGTAGTCGTTTTGAATCGGAAATATCGTGTAAACTTTTCCTTGCTGAATTTTAATTATATAGTAACAAAAAGTTGAACGAAGTGATTTAATTAGTCTAGTTAAAGTTATTTATGTAATTAAAATAGTTAAACAATATCAGTGAATACAAAAGTGAAGTACAACGTGTATCCTGTGCTGCATTCTGATGTAACGTATTGATACAGGTACGGTGTAAATATCTAAACGATATAATTTTACTTATTTCTATCGAGTAAAGTGTAATTATTTAGTAGGATTTTAATTATTGTATTGTACGAAATACATTAATATTAGTTCGATGCAGAATAAATTGCTAGTTGTGTTGTTGCACGCTGCAATGGTTGTTGCAACATTTTCTCATATTCATGTATTTAATAATAAATACATGGATTCAAGTGCATTCTCTGAAAGAGGAGCAATGCGAGAATTGTTCAGTAAAAATAGAAAACCATTAAACTGTGAAATATTGCTTGTAAGGGAGCCTTGAAGATATTCATATTTTCAATAAAAAGAAAAAAGACCTTTGCTTTATTTCAGTATCAAGTTCGACACGTTTACACTGGCTTGGTTACGAGGAGTTTCGACATTAAATGTAAGATGGCGGCAGCTACGGCTGCGGCGCAAATGAGTCGGCGATCGACACGGTTGTGCCATCCATGATGGCCGAGACAGTTTCCGAGATTTCGAGCACGGTGTCGTGAGTACGTGTACCCTTTATTGCACGTTTAATCGCTAGTGAGGCTCATCAGCAAGACAAAAGGATCCCGGAAAGAATGACAGACAGTCCAGCGGCACTCGTAAGTGTTGTCACTGTCTATTAAATTTTCTACAGCCAGAGTTTTCGGGACCCTCGATACTCGATAGGTTACCCATCGAGGAACATGCGCGCATCTAGGGCTTCTTCGCGTACATGTATCGGTAATCGAGCAACGATCGTGTTCGTTGCTAGTTGATATTTCGGCTCTTTCTCGACTCTAGTAATCGGTGGGTGCTTCTGAAAGAACTGATCCCGATGGGGATGTGCAGTTCACGTCCGATATGGAGTAACGCGCAAACGCAGAATAGAGGTTCGTTGGCCGTTCTCATTTGACGTCACTAGCTGATAGTGGTTGTCACCTGTTTTTGTCGACGGTGACGTCACGAGTAGTTGTGACGTAACCATAAAGATCGTTTTCTCGGTCATACCGAGTCTGTTTACTCTTACGTATGGCAGGATACGTCAGATTACATATGCTGATGCGTGAATAATACTTCGACGTCTATATGCACGCATTATTATGCGTCTACCGAGCATCGTTCGAATTGATGTTCGCGGCTTACAGCATTAACTAGTTTGGCGACATAATGTCCGCCTTCCATATTGATTTCGTGCTTACACACCTGACATAAGTGGTGTTTACAATGCATTGTACGAACGTGTCGAACACTTGCTGCTATTATTTATGTTTACACTCGTTCTTAATGGTGTATTCAAATTTTCTTTTGTATATCTTTTATTTTCAAAATACCTTTTATCGAAATTACCTTCAGTTCGCTAACAATTATATTTGAATTATTTTTACGACAATAATACCAATTATAATATATAATACATCTAACAGTAATACGATAGACCAGAATAATACTTCGAAAACAGGATAAACTAGATATAAGAGTAAAAGAGAAAGACGAATGATTCGTATTGCGATCAGTAAACCAAATCTCATTCGTAGCTGCAATGCTAGGCATGATAAGAACTACACGGCAGGTGGCACGACCTTAAAAGCAATTTCAATCGCATTTAACACGATTTGCGATTGAAAAGGCGACCTTGCCGTACCACGATCTCACACCCCATCTATAGTCAAACGATCGTAGTCCATATCCAGACCCTTGTACGCTGTTTACATCGATACTTCCAAGTCCGTTTAAAACTAGTTTTTCAGGCTTTCAAATAACGGCTATAGGACGCTCGACACGAACATAAGTCTATAAGATGAAACAAACGAATATATAAGCGGATAAACACGCGAGCAAACGGTAAGCGATGTTTAGAGGCAGCTTATTTGTTCGTTCTTGTTAGTTGGAAGTATCGAACCAGCGTGAAATTGTGCTAGCCACTTCGGTTCTGTATTTGTTTCTCAATCGATACTCCTTGAAGGAGCTGTTTCGCTGTGAATTTACCTCTCACTCTTCCATCACTATCTAATTAAGACTTCTTTTGTTTGACTTCCGTCGATCTTCGAGTCAGCCATATTAAGCATGAAATAACTTTTATTCCTATCGTGTTACTTTCTTTCGATGTAACATGGTTAAGTTAGAAATGGAAGTTGAGCAATTTTATTATTTAATTTGCAATTTTCTCTTCGAGGAATAAATACACAATTAATCGAAGTATTTGACAAGTAGTGTTTTCACCTGTTAACTGGGGAAGACAAATTAACAGGTGCACAAATTAATTTGACGCCTTTACTTACGTAGCTTGACTACTTTATCGACTCAGTAACGCCATAGTTTTTCAGGGAAGAATTCTTCGGTTATCCGATGAATGGAAAAATGTTCGAAAATAATGGAGATTATTTTGAACGGTAAAATTCTATTTGTTTTTTTTTTTCCTTTTTTGTAAATAAACATTCAAATTTGTGAAATAATACGATGGAATTAATTTGTACACCTAATATACGATAGTTTACTTACCGACGGATTACTCCTTTTTAATTGTACCGTTATGACTGTACTAAACGTAAAATACATTTACATTTGCAAGAATCAAATTGAAGCAACTGCTTATATAATTTCGATTCATTTTTAATTATAAACTAGAGGCATTCGTAATTTCTGTCTGAGTTCTGCTTGAACGAAGTGAACCGAGTTAACAGGTTAATTACAACATTGGTCAGTTTTACTCTTTCTTTTTTTGTTTTCCTCGCCGGAACTACTTTTCGGTACAAATGTTATTCATTTCTAAAAGGTTCATTCAGGCTGTCGGCGGTAGTTAAAAGTAAAGGCGGAAATGGGCTTGGTAAGGCCGACAGCGGTGTAACCAGATTAGAATGCTTTTATCGTGGAATTAAATGGCCAGGAAAAGCCGGAAGTGCGAACAACGTTTCAGCGGGAATATTTAATTTTGTATACAGTTCACGCTATTTATTCTGCTTCATCGCGCGCGCATCAGCCACGGCTTACGAATAGTATATATCGCAACATATTCCAAAGCTTTAGTCGTAGGCTTTAATTTTGAATGTTTCACCCCTGCCTCTCTCTCTCTCTCTCTCTCTCTCTCTCTCTCTCTCTCTCTCTGCTATCCATCAGCGCGATAAACTTTGAAACTATGCGTGCGCCAGTTTCAAAGTACTCGCCGGGTAAACATAATCTCAGGCCTGACTGTTCTCAATCGGATATTACGACAAGGTACATTCCTTCCTTTTCGGCAATATTTTTTTTTTAATAGGAACAGACAATGAACAGTTAAAAAAAAGAATTAGATTTTCTATTCTCGTAAATTCTAAATGATTGATAATTTCGAAATCTAATTAATCTCAAAAGTGGAAATTAAAAAAAAAGTCGACTCTTTTTGAAAATCGCCAACGAAGATCACGGTAGAAAATTTTTTCCTCGTAATTTTATTCCCAGATTTTCTATTATGTTTCAATTTCTTAAAATATGATATTTGTAATTTAAGTTTGAAATAATAGTCAGTAGAAACGGCGCGAGTAGAAAATAACGGGAACGGTGGTAAGACGAAAGCCCACCGGGTAATTAGTTTATTTGTTTGGTTTTGCAGAAACGCGGTTGATCTAATATCTGTTTTATCCTACACGGGTAGAAACCGTTTCAATCTCGTGGCGGAGATAGGATCATGTAGCAGCGTGCGTCGCATTGAATGGCTGCAATTGTGCAGCTGCAGTTCAGTAACGATTATTGGTGTAGGTACATGTATACCAATAATGTTAACGAGACACCTCGTATATCGTCGTTCACGCGTGTACACACACTCGTCCACCACGACGTTCGTGATTTCCTTCTATTACGATTGTTCCTCCGTCTACCCCCATTTTCTCTTCTTCCTTAACCCTCTGTAACCCGATTTTTCTTTCCTCGTCAGAAGAAAAATTATGGGTTGATCGCAGTTTTACATTTCGATGGGAGATGTAGGATTTAGTAATTATTATAAAGCAGTTAATTGTTAATAAATAAATAAAATGAGACTTGTAAACTATAGATAAATAGAAACCTAATTTTCAAGACACATGGCGTTGTAGAGGGTTAACGTTCTCTCTCTTTATTCTTTACTTAGCTACTGTATATACAGTCGGTGGAAGAAATATAGCGGGGACCTAACCTACAATTTCGGGTGAATTGAAATTTCAAAAAATTTATACATATGCATCTGAAAATATTTTAAAACGTCGATAATGTGATTGGCCATAATCTCAAAACTAACGTTTTGAGGTTAGGACACTACTGCACTGATAGCCTCAATTGAAGCGTTAAGTACTTAAGTGCACCGATTGAAGCAGCGACACTCAGAGATTTTTGATCGAGACTAAATCAAAGCTAAGGTCCTGATTGAGGTTTCTAGCCCTTATCTTCTCAGGTTTCGATCGATTCGCTCATCGATATTACTCGCAAGTGGAAACTTCGACGCCTGACGCGATCTTCCGCTATATTTCTTCCTACAACTATACTTCCTACACGTTACTTCCTTCACAGTATAACTGTCTAATGCACAGTGAGATATTTTAACGTGGTATTAGTTTCTTAAGTTCTTCCATGTCGATTTACAATCAGCACAATAATCTTA